CATGGGACGAATCAGTGCTTCTCTCAGCCAGCAGATCGCTCTGCGCGGTCACCGAACAATGCGCCTTGGTATGGCCTCGCAGTCATCAGAGGTTGACAGAAATCCCATTGTTTTCCTGCATGTGTTTGCATTTGGTTCGCTGTTGAGGCTTTCAGCTACTACAGTATTATTTTTACACTTTCATTGGACTTGCGTTTGTACGCCGAGCAACTTTTCAGGTCAGTGGCACCAATGTACACGCGGCCACCACCCGAAGACGGCTTCATGTACATTGGATCGGAAGCTTGGCAAGGTCTTTCGGAGGTGAAAGATTCCAGTCAAAGCGGATGCTGACCTCCCAGGCTTGGATCAGATTGGACCAGCGTGACCAGGAGGTTCGCTGCATGTGCCTTGAATTGCATTCCCAGCCCCCGCGTCCTCATGTTAAACAGTTTGTCGTTGTCTTGAAGATTCATGACGCATCTCAGGCACAAATTCATCAGCTTCGGCAACGGCAAAGGTTGTGAAGCTTGCCTTAGCTTTTTCGAGCTGAGTGTATGTCTTTGTGTGTGATATGACACACGCCCTGAGTCAGTACATAGCTGAGGATTATGTTTTGCTTGACCATGGATGTTACCAACATCGCCCACACGGCCTTTATTGTGACTACAGGAGCTGCTGGGTGATTGCAAGCAGGGGGAAGGAAAGTGCAGTTGCAGCATGGGCTCTAAACAAGAACCTGACATAGTTTGGTGCACCTTGACCCGTTTAAACCACACACTCATTGGACACATGCCCCGCAGCTTGATAGAGCTAGCTTTGCCCGCAATGTGCTTTAGACATGTGATGTAGGACAGGGCAAGACTATGGCGACAACTTGTACCGTTTTGCAATGCTGTCCCTGGCGGCCTTGGAGGCCTGGGCAGTGCACAAGAAGAATACGAAGAGAGATAGTAGTAGTATCCTAGTAGTAGCTACTTAGCTACTTGTTACTAGTATTTACTAGTAGTAATGCCAGGAGCTACTAGTGGCTTCTGGCTCCTAGTAGCGATGCCCTTTGTTACTAGTAGCGGTGAAGGGTGGGAAGGGAACGAACCAGCGCGCAGATACCTCTTCGACTCAGCTTCGGCGGAGCGCCATATGGGCAGCGTGCAGCTTGCTAGCGCTATTTTATCCTTTGTACCACGAGCCTGCGATGTTCCAGGAAAATGATACACTTTTTTTGATGCCGAGGTGATATTCTTTTCGAGCGATTGGCAGGTGTGTTGGCGCGCACTATTGAACAAATGCCAGAACAAAGTGAACAAAGAAGAAGGCTCCTTCCAGTTTTGTGCAACTTAGTGGAGCCAGAGGTCTTATTCTTTTGATGTTATGGACTTGAGAAATCCTAGGCTGGCTTATTGCCTGTCTATCTTGCACACCGCTACCGACGCACTGGAGTGTACCGTGAAGCAAGGTGTCGCGGCACTTTTGTTTCTTTTCCTCGGACCTGTTCTGGCACATGTATGACACATGTGAAGTGGTCTCCATACGTTAATATGTATATATATAGGTTGATGGCAACCAAAGAAACCGTCAAGCAAATGGCTGAGGAGCATTCATATCATTCACAACTTGGGCGGCTTGGCTTAAACACAACACTCGCCAGCGACGGAGCAGCTGCTGAAGTTCAAGGGCATCAAAGCACTGTAAGCACTTCCACTAGGAAATGGATGGACCCATGTCCCCTAGAACATGTTGTTTTTCTAGAGAGCTATGTTTCCTAGCGTTGTCGAGTCCCTGGCCATTCTTTAGAAACGTGTTTTTTCATTGCGACCGCACAGGGGGCCACGCTAAATCTTCGGACCCAGTTGACCCAGTTGAGGTCAACTGGGTCAACCAGGTCAACTGGGTCAACTGGGTCCGGAGATTTAGCGTGGCCACCGGGTCAACTGGGTCCACCGCCACCACCACCACCACGACGACGACTACTACTCCTACTGCTACTCCTACTCCTACTCCTACTACTCCTACTACTACTACTACTACTACGACTACTACGACTACTACGACTACCACTACCACTACCACTACCACTACCACTACTACTACTACTGGGTCAACTGGGGTCAACTGGGGTGAACTGGAACTGGGGTCAACTGGGTCCGGAGATATAGCGCCGCCCGGGTCAACCGGGCCAACTAACCCTCACTTCAACTGGGTCAGCTGGGTCCACCACCACTACTATCATCACTACCACTACTGTATGGGTCAACTTCGTTCAAGGTCTGGCAACGACTACTACTGAGCATGCTCGATCAAAGATGAATCCCTGCTAGTGCTAGGCGTAAAATAAGGCAGTCTGAAAAGTAAAAATTAAGCTCAACACCAGGGTTCCCGTGTTGTGCTTGGACAAAACCTTCTTTTTGTCAAGTTCATCGGTTTTGTATTTCCATTGGGCACCCCACGTGAAACAGGCGTAGCCACTGCATGGACAGACGGCCGTCAAAAGAATGGCCAACGAACGGCATGCGTGGAGCTAAATTTCGATTTGTAACGATGATCTGGACCTTTCAGACACGGGAAGGTTCAATCACCAATAATCCCCTTTCGTGCGAACTGCTGCGGATTTGGACGTGTTTTTCTTTTGTGAGGATCTTTCCAGGTCAGAGTCAGAGTCAGAGTTCGGCTTCTGTGAGGATCCCGTGGTCGACTTGTGGATCTTTTCCAGGTCCAAACCAGGGATCAGGTGCTGCGTGTTCGATCGTCAGGCTACCCACTAAACCACAGACAACTAAGTCAACTCATCCATAGAATTCTGGAATTTTAGATGTCATCTGTGGCAACATGGAGCTATAAAAACATGATCTAACCAATGGAATCCAACATCAACATCAGACATCCCGTGTAGATCTCGGTGGTCGCCGTAACATTAACAAGTTCAACAACGGTCTTCATCACAACCTCGGTTGATCCAGCTTGATCCACTTCAGAAGCCAACAGTTGCGGACCGTTTCTTCCTGCGAGTCAAGAGATAGCTCTAGATCTATCGATGACGTGTGAGCAAGCGACTTGGCTATATAAAACTACTAAAAGTGAAAGCTGGAAGCCAAGATCATTGGGACTCCTTCTTCCATCGAGTCGACCATGGCCGCAAAAACAACATTGACACATAAAAATACATAGTCTAACCATGGGAAACCAAGCTCAACGCCAGGTGTCCCGTGTTGAGGTTGGTTGAAGACTTTTCCTGAGCCAGTTGAGACACTGCCTCCATTCCATCAGAACCTGAGTAGAAAACACACGCATAAACAACAATAATGAGTTATGAAAACACAATCTAACACATAGAAACCACACTCCACACCAGGAATCCCATGTTGAGGTTGATTGGTGATCTTTCTTGATCCAGTTCAGACAATGCCTCTGTCGCAACCTAGTAGTATCAGTGCCCCAGTTGACCCGGTTGACAATTGATCCAGATCACCCGGTTGACCCAGTTGATCCAGTTGACCCGAATGGACCCACTTGACCCAGTTGACACGTAGTAGTAGTAGCAGTAGTAGTCGTGGTGGTCGAATTGACCAGGCGGGCACGCTAAGTCTGCGGACCCAGTTGACTCCAATTGACCCAAATGACCCAGTTGACGCGTAGTAGTAGCAGCGATAGTGGTCACAGTGGTCGACTTGACCAGGTGGCCACGTTAAATCTCCGGACCCAGTTGACCCAGTTGAGGTCGGGGTCAACCGGGTCAATCGGGGTCAACTGGGTCAACTGGGCCAACTGGGACACCCTGTTCAACTGGGTCAACTGGGTCAACTGGGACCGGAGATTTAGCGGCCCCCTGTGCCGACGCACTCTGTTTTTTGGATATGAACATCGTTGCCTTAGGGCATTTTCTAGAATATATTGTGGAACTCTGATGAATCAATAGGACCAGGACTTTACCATTTTCAAGAGAAGCAGCTTACCATTTCTAGAAAAACTGTTTTAGGAAAGATACAATTTTCTAGTGGACATGGCAGGTTGCTGTAAAACAAGATGTAATTTTCTGGTGCTAGTGAAAGAGTTTTCACAGAGGCACGCTCCGGGTGAACCTGTGTCAGGCATTTTCTAGAGCTCTATTTTGGAGGACGTTATATTTCAACACCCTTCATTTTCTAGAGCAAATTTGTAGCTACTTGCATTTTCTAGTTTCGTATGTGGTCCACCACCTGGACGCCCCGTGTTTTCTACCTAGAAAATCCCTAGCACAGGTTCTCCTTGGAATACCAACGGGAATCTAATATCAGTAATATCATATCTACACTTTTTATCCAACCCTCAATGGCCAAAGCAGCACAATAGCAGGCGGATGAGTCATATTGTCATATTGTTGTTGAATGTGGCAGAACATGCTCTCAGGCTATCAGGGTACATTCTCCCGAGCTGGATCCAACGCTCACTCACTGCTTGGCCTTGGTGAACTTGCCACACTTGACTTGCCAGGGCCTCGAATCGATTTGAGCAGAGTCTAGCCTGCGCTTGTCGAGGCCGACTTCCAGAGATGTCGAAACTAAGGAACAAGGATGCAGATTTGAACCTGTGTAAGGGTGCAATTCTCTGTGCAGACCGTGTTCTCACAGCGCCTGACTTGCACTATACTGGTGACCCACTCAGCATCACCGATTGAAAGTTCAAACTGAGGTTTCCCCAAGCTATGCAGCAGAGGTGCTGACTCCAGAAGGTGCGGGTTCGAAAGCACTCTCATTTTTGCCTTAAGATCCTATGATGGATCATTCATGACTTGTTTCGGAAGTCCATTTGCACCATTTTATCGATACGTAGCTAAGACATGTGGGAGGATGTTTGCCTGCAGGAGGATTTGGGCTGGATGATATATTGTCTCAGAAGTATAACATGCACCGGTTCCACGGGATTCGCAATGCCATAGATGATGAGTGGGATCCGGGGATGGTGCTTTGGCAGCAAGTGTCGATTCCTAGGAGCATGGTGCAAGAGAGATGGGGGGAGCATGCCTGCATTCTTGTTTTTATAAGTGTATGCAGAGATCCCTGAGATTGGCTGAGGATGTGCACATTGCGCGTAAGTATGGTTTGGATAATTTCATCTCTGCCAGAAGGGAGTGCAAGGCTGCCCTGCAGAAGAAGCTGGGCTTGGTCATCACACCCAATGCTGTGCCTGAGACGCAGACAGCGGGCAAGCTTGGAGGATGCCTGCTTTTGGCCTCACTGAGACACATTGCATTGGCTCGGTCTGAACATTTGTGACGTTGACATACCCTGATCTAGCAATGTATAACGTACCGTGTGCGAGTTAACCAAGACCTGTTCTATGTTTTGAGCAGTAAGCTTGTGGCTTGCCCACTCACAGCCTTATATCCAGAACCTGCCGAGTGAGCATGTCAGGTTGTTTTTGGCTTTGTAGGGCGGCTGACCTGGCAGAAGGGCCTTGGCCTCAGTGACGGTAGCGAGGAAGGGCACTTGCTCACTCCAAGAGTGAAGAGCGGTTCGCCAGAGCGGTTCCATTGCCAGGCGTGGATGTTCTGACCAGGGCATTGTCGTGGCTATTGGGCAATGGGCTGCAAGGATTCCCAGGACGTGCGCAAGTGGTGCTCATGGGTGAAGGGGAGACCCTTGGCGGCGGTTTTGTGTTGACCCACTGAGGAGTTTGCTAGGCAAGAGGTGTCTTATGTTATTATGTGGCGCAGAGTAGTCAACAGTCCGTGGATTAACATCCTAGGCAGCAATACCAGCATTTGGTGCATGACCTTGAAATGAGACATCGTGGAGCTGTTTGCGGCTACACCGGTCTCATGGCCTGTCGATGACTGTTGCAAGATGTTGTCGCCTCTCTATATATAACTATATATATATTTATATTCCTTTTCTTGTTCTAGCTCAGCCTTGCAAAGCTTTGCCCGGTGCCGTGTGTGTCAAGGACCTTTTTACACTAGAAATTGTGCTCTTAATGTTCAAGATATTTAGCTTGTGGAAAGGCTTCGATCCAATCCTCGAGCACCAGATGATGGCAGGCGGGTTCTGATACACCGCTACGCAGTGTGACACCTGATTTCGTTCGCCGCACCACGCTGCACAGGCTGTGATTTCATTTTGATGCCTTCCCGCTACGAACCATGCGGTCTTCCTCAGATCCTTTGTTGACTTACCCAACCCATTTTCATGTAAATTTGTGGCTTGGAGTTGCTATATAAGCGACTGATGTCGCATCTACCGCATCTGAATTGTATGCAGAGTATTCTTGTGGCCTCCGAGGATGGCAGCTGCTTTATATGGGGCCGTCGTCATTGCCACAGCGACTGGTGGCTTGAAGGACTGTGTGAAAGGCGTGGCTTGCCTCATTTTGCAGGTTTGCTTTGTTTGAGCCCGGAGAGCCCTGAGTGCGCCGGGAGGCATTGAGGAGCAGGATGCGACTGGCTTCTTGATCCACCCCCCAGTGACCGAATTTGGAGTGCGCCAGGCTGGACTGAACCTCAAAATTCCGTGAAGCCTCTTCCGAGAATGATTCATGGTGAGGCTCTACGAGAAGCTTCCGCACTCTACTTTCACAATCCAGGACGCTTCCAGAAACTCGGCCAAACAATACTGCATGGCATTCGGAGGCGGTTTGCATCGACGCATTTCACAGCGTTGTTCCCGAATGCGTAGCAAAGGGTTCTCGTTTAACTCTGGGGGTCTGGGGGTAGAGCCTTGTTCGTGACCCATTGTTTCTAAGTTCGCAACCGTCCGCAACCATCCGCAACCGTTCGCAACCGTCCGCAACCGTCCGCAACCGTTCGCAACCGTCCGCAACCGTTCGCAGTAGAGCGCTAAGGCGCTGCCATTGGGGGAAGCTTTTGGAGAGGGTTTCGGATGAAAACGCGACGTGTCAGATTCGTGTGAAATAATGAGGACTCGTGTGGAAATGTAAGATGTTGAAGTGTGGAGGATGATTTCACTGCGCAGGCGCAGCGTTTTGTGAGATCCGCAGTTTGCTGCGCAGTTCCATTAGGATTAGCGTTTGGAGAGTTGTGTTTTTGGGGTGTTGGATGTGGCCGTGCCATTGGGATTTGCGTTTCAGGGTGTGGCATGGAAGCCCTGTTTTCGTGACAAGTCTCAGCTGAAATGGCGATTTTGGTGGATGGGAGTGTGCTCAGAACGGGTCGAAATCACTCCAAACGTGTGGTGTGGTGCAAATTTTGTTGAAGCTCACATGAGATGATATTGTCACTTTTCGTGGCAGGCGCAGTACTTTGTGCGGGTTTTGAGGTGTGGAAGTGTGATTTTCGTGGCAGGCGCAGGGAATCGTGAGGTTGCGAGGTGTGACGGAGGTGACATTTCGTGGCAGGCGCAGTACTTTGTGCGCGTTAGACGTATGGACGCGGAAAGATTCGTGGCAGGCGCAGGGAATCGTGAGGTTGTGAGTTGTGGTAGAGGTGAATGTCACTGTCACATTGGGATTGGCGTGTGAGCGGGTGTTGTTTGAAAGGGCTGGAATCCCGAAACTGCTTGGCAGGGCTACGTGATGTGTGTGCTCCGATGGGTGTTTCCGCTTGACTTTTGGAGGAAGTCTCGTACGAAACGCTTGTTTTGCAGACTTTGACATGTGACGTTCTCAGGGTGAACGTCCCTGATGCGACTCTGTTGATGGGAGCTTTGGACTCTTGGAAAAGTGGCCACTCAATCGGCCCGTCTCGCTCCCCTCCATCTTCCCTCCCCAGCCCCGTCCCCACCCATTTTCCTCCCCAACCCCGTCCCCAACCATTCTCGCTCCCTCCATCTTCCCTTTCCCAGCCCGGTCCCCACCCATCCGCCTTCCGTCTTGCTCCCCTCCATCGTCCCCTCCCCCCCCGTCCCAGCCCATGGGGGGGAGCGAGATGGGAGGCGCGTGGGTGTGGACGGAGCAGTGGGGGGGGAAGATTGAGGGGAGCGAGACGGGAGGCGCATGGGTGGGGACGGAGCTGGGGTGCTGGGGAAGGAAGGGAAGATGGGAGGCGGGTGGGTGTGGACCGGCTGGGGAAGGAAGGGAGGGGCGCGAGACGGGAGGTGCGTGGGTGTGGATGGGGGTGGGGAGGGCATGGGTGTGGACGGCGCTGTGGAAGGAAGGGAGGGGGCGCGACACGGGGGAGCGCGACGGGATGTGCATGGGCGTGGACGGAGCTGGGGCAGGAAAGGGTCGCGAGACGGGAAGTGCGTGAGTCGATCTTGCGCGGCTGATTTGCTAGTTACGAGGACATGGTTGCACCACAAGCATCATTGCAGGCTGCTCCGGGTCAGTTCACAAGTAGAACGAAGCATGGGTGGGGGTAGTTCTCCTCCATGCTTCGCGGAAGCACGTTCTGACGCGAGGGGAGCTGTGTTGCAGGGATTATATGATGGTCTTGGGTGTCCAAAATGTGCACAATGCATGCGCCAGACAGTCTTGTCATGGCCGAAACGGCAGGATTGTTGCATGCCAGAACCGCAATGCTTGAAATTTGATGGTTGGAAAAAAACATGGAGGGGGCCGATGCTGCTCCATGCTTCCTGGAACGGTTGTCAGAAGCCATGTCGCAATGGGGATTGACCAGTCCAGAATGTGTGCAATCTATGCCGAAGACAGCCCAAGTCATTGCAGAAACGGCAGGATGGTTGCGTGCCAGAACCGCAATGCTTCAAATTTCATGGTCGGAACGAAGCATGGAGGGAGCTGATGCTGCTCCACGCTTCGTGGAAGGGTTGTTAGTAGCCATGTTGCAATCGTTTTATCGTGGGGGGGCTTTCAAAGCTGACCAAGGCGTGGACGGGGGTGTATATGGCAGACAGGGGCGGACAGGTGCGCACCAGAGGCGCGATGCTTGAAATATCATGGTTGCCACGAAGCCTGGAGGGGGCTGATGCTTCGTTTTGGCCTGCTAATGTGTGTTTGTGTATTTTTCCCGGGTTGCACGCTTCTTTTTGCTTTTGGGTCCGCGGGCTCACCTTGTTTTTTTGGGGGGGGGGCTGTTTTGTGACTTTGAATCAGCCAAGGCAACTGCAGCGCAATGTGTCCTGTCTCAGCATCATTGGGGCTCAGAAGGGGCGCTGAGAAGGTCAAGGTCACAACTTTAACTTGGATCATATCATGATCACTCTCTCCTGATTTGTACTTTCTTGCGCTGTAGGCGATGTCCCGATCATTCCGATGGGGACCTTCGCTGGATGAATATGAGCACCAAATCCGTCTTGCTGTGGTCAGCCCACCACAGAAGCAATGACACTGGAGCAGAGACGTAGCGGAGATTATCAGCCCCAGGGTGGGAAGGCTGAAGGGCAGGCTGCAACTCTTATGAGGCATTCGACAATTGGCACTAAGAATGCAGTCGACGAAGTATTAACTAATGAGATACATATGGCATCATGGGGCACTCTCGCATTTCTAAAGCCTCTGCACTCTCGGAGCGGTGTCTCACTCCACTCCATGCGCTGATCTGGGTTGTTGGTAATGGCGCTCAGGACATCCCGGGCGCGACTTGGATGCCAAGCCTGTATTTGAAGAGGAAAGAGCCCAGGCCCAGGCCTGATTCTTTGACTATATATATATATATATAATGTCCTGCAGGATTTGCGTCAAACTCATGGTTGGATTGTTAAGGAAAACCATGCCCTGGCAACTACTGTAGATCTTGTGATTTCATACGCAAGCAACGGTGGCCGTGAAAGCTGCGCTGCATGTGCATACGCAAAGCCTGGAAAAATATTTCTGATCTCCACTGATTCGGCAAGAGAGGCAAGTCAAAAGCCTTGTCCCCGATACCAGGCAACGACTCTCCCAAAGGGTTGCAGATGGCCCAATTTGGCCGCCCAATTTGGCCGTTTTCGTGTGAACCACAAAGCTGCCACGTCTTTGGACACTCTGTTGCTGCCGGGCCCAAGTTTGCTCATTTCATCACCCTTTGGGACACCGTGTTTCACCAGTACCGCAACATTCGTACTGTGGCTATGTGGCCGCTTAATTTCAAAGCCACAGTCACAGACACCCGCATGAAGCATTTTTTCCAGGTCGAGACGGTCTTTTGGCTTTGGAGTCAAGGCCATGGGAAAATCCATGGCCGGTGCCCAGACCTCGCAGCCACACAAAAAGACGCGCTTACGGAGATCATGGGCTCGCTTGATTTACGGCTCCTCAAAGTTAAAAAAGCGATCAACAATTTTTCAGAATCAAATCAAACATTAGGTGAGTAATGTGAAAAGTGTTAGCGGTTAGCGCAGGCGTCCAAATAAAGAATCCGGAAAAAAGAACAGATCCTAATTGCAGGTGCGTGCAACTGTCGAACGTCGCCCCAGAGAGAGTGCCGGGGCCCCAGACTTTAGAGCTGGTGTGGTTGTTACTCCAATATGATGCAACTTGCCAGAGGCCAGAAAGGTGGAAGCTTGAACAATGATGTCTGTCGTGCAAAGGTTGGGGTTGAGGGAGCGACTCGCACTCTCTCATTCAAGGTCAAGAGTTGGCCAGCGTACCTCTACAAGTTGCTTTGCGCTTGGCAGTGTTTGACACCCGTGCTCATAATTTGCAGTGATACGCTTTATGTAATTGTGCAAATATCGGTGCATTTAAACTCATACTGCAGCAGTTTATCAATTCCAAGGCTAAAAAATGCCTTTGCCACCTCAAAAGCAGCCAGGCAGACTTTGTGAATGCATCACTTGCAAAGCATGTGCTGGCAAGGTCACACATGCTCTTTCTTCGGTGAGGTACCCCGCACGCCATAAAGCTCGAGGCTAAGGCGGCTAAGGTGCAAGATTTGTTTATGACAAGCCTTTTGATCAATTATTCAGTCATTGATCCTCTTGCCTATGTGCCGATGATGCAATAATGGCCTGTGTGAGTGTGAAGTCACGCGGCGCCACATGGATGCTCAAGGGTAGGATCGTTTGGCCCGGTGTTCTTGCCATTCAAGATGGTGGCGAAGGTCGGAGTTGCGCACCTCGGCAGAAGTATGCCCGGTCGGGCTTGATTCGCAGATTCGCACGAATGGCGCATACGTCGTAAAGCAAGTTTCAGCAAATTCAGGAAGAAGAAGGGGGTCCCAGCCAAGAAGTCAGTTGAGATCTCAGACAAGATTTCAGCACACTGGAACTTTGAACCAGAGTGGAGTTTGACAACGGTGAACTTAAGGAAGCATACCGTAGGGCCTGCATAGGGAAAGTGTGTTGTGGTGCATGGTGCCTCAGACTGTGAAGTTCACCATCGACTGTCAGCAGCCAGCTGATGACAACATTATCGAGCCCAAGGACGTTGGGGGGGCATGAGCTGAGTAGCGAGAAACCTAGCACTGTCGATGAATTTGACCACTTTGTCTGCTAACTTTTTGTTATTGGAGGACTTCGAAAAGTTCCTGACTAGCCGAATCAAGGCAGGGCCAACGCCAAAGATTCACGTGAAATGGTCAGTAACAAGAGTTGGTGGCCTTCAGGGTTCTCAATCATTGACAGGTAGATGGCAAGGCTGGCAACCTGGGTGACAAGGCCCCGCCCTTTGGTAGGCAGTGTCGTATGGATGCAGGACAGACGCAGAGATGCTGCACCATTTAGACCCCAAAGCGGTCCTCGAAAAGCTCTCTTGCCTCTTTGAGAGGTGACGGTTGCGCGGGAGAAGAACAAGGTGCATGTCACTGCCGAGGCAGTGGTTGGATTGTAGCCATTTGATG